TTCGAGACAGGGCCTTGTTATGCAGTTCAGGCTGCCCTTGAGCGCACTCTGTAGCCCAGGCTGGTCTCAAATTCGCAAGGATCCTCCTGCCTCAGTCTCCTGAGTGCTGGGATTACAGGCGTGCGCCACCATGCCCGGCTTTTTTTTCGTTTTTTATTTTGAGACACGGTCTCACCAAGTCACTAAATTATCCAGGCTGGGCTCAGATCTGTAAATCTCCTACCTCAGCCTCCCAAGGGCTGGGATTACAGATGTGAGCCACACTGCCTGGCAACCGCAGCTTTTGAGCTGGTCTTTATGGGTTAAGTCACAAAAGCCAGGCAGCCCCTGCCCCGCCCTTATGATTACACAACAATTGCTCCTTAGTTCTGTGCTGGTCAGGAGGACAGGCTCTGTGACATGGGCTGGCGGGGCTGGGCTCTTGGGGGCACTGCCTCAGAGACATCAGGTGGACATAAGGCTCCCCAACACCAATGAGCTCCCCCTCCCATACCCCTAATCCATCCCCTACCCAGTCCCCCTCCCAGTCCCGGTCCAACCACACTGCCCTCCCTCCCGGCCAGCAGCCCTACACCAGCTCTGGAGCCTCAGCACCTTCCCCGTCCCCTCCCCGGGGGACTTCCTCCCGCCCACCCTCGCACACTCCCACCCCCAACCCCTCTCAGCCCTCATCCCCCTCCCGGGCCGCCTCGCTGAGCCCCAGCTCTCACATCCAGGCCGGCTCCCGGGGCCCTAACCAAGCCAGCACACCGCCCACCTCCAAGTCCCCCTCCCAGTCCGGCTTAAAACCCCTCTCTTGGAACCCTTCCCTAATCCCCAGGTCTCCCTCCTACAGCCCTGCCACTTCGGCCTCCTACATCGGGCCCACTCGGAACATCCCGTCCTATATTGCCCCCTATGTGCCCCGCTTCCTGAAGGAGCCCCCCTTTTTCCAGCCCCCTACATCTCCCCTTCCCCAAAACTCGTGCTTTCCCTGTGACTTTCCCTGTCCCGCCCCGAAGCCCCCAACACCTCCCGACTCCCTGTACTTCCCCCTCCTCCCCCCACCAAACCCCTGCCCCTCTATGAACTGCTCCTTTCCCACGCCTCCCTCCCTGTTCACCCCCCCATCCTCTCTCTCCTACTCCCTACCCACTGAGGTCCTGGTGAAGGGGAAGCCACACGTGGTGCCCTCGGTGCTACCGGCCACCTTCTACACCCCCTTCTCCCGCTACTACTCCCAGCCCCGAGCCTACCGCTCCCTCCACCGGAACCCCAGGGCTTTCCCATCCTCCTCCAGCTACCACTTGCAATATGATGGTCCTGGGCGCTCTGTCCACTTCTAACATGGGTTCTAGGCCTCAGACTTACTTTGGACCCGAAGCTTCTGCCAGTAAATTCAAGCTACTGCATCCAGACTTCATCAGCTACCTGAAAGAGAGGTACGGCGGCAGGGATGGGGATGGGGATGGGGATGGGGATGGGGATGGGGATAGGGATGGGGATGGGGTGGGAGGCAGGAAGGTAAGCGACCCTTCTCACCCTGTTCACACCTGCTCCGCCACGCAGTGCCTTCCAGGAGCCCCATTCACTATAACCCATGAAAACGAATGCCATGTGCCTGGCACAGTGCCAAGCACTTTCTATTACTTCAGCTACTAGTTTACTTGCTATCTTGATGGAGGTGGTGTTCTAATGAACACAGTAACAGGAAATTCTGGTGGTAGTGGGTATTGGAAGCAGTATTAGCCCAAGGTCACCTTGGGAGGAAACCGGGGGACAAACAGCCTAATCTCACTTCCCTCCTTCCTGCCCTCTATTGGGTTCCTGAGCTGGGAGTAAGTGGGGTCAGTATCTAGTCCTGCAGGATGACATTTCTGGCTATCAAAAGAGGAGAGGGGGCCATTAGTAGGCAGAGGCCAGGGATACTACTGTAAATTCTACGGTGCACAGGATGGGCCCTGCAACAAAGAACCGTGTGGCCTCAAATATTAACAGTGCCATGGCTGAAAAACTGCTGAGACCAAGGAGGCAAATATCTCAGGACAGGGAGCAGATGGAGCGGGGTGCAAGTGGATCTGGGGAGGCCGTGGAAGCCCTATTTTGCAGAGGAAGAAAGGCTTGGCGAGTGCAGGTGCCCTTCCTGGCCAAGCTTAGACACGAACCCAGGTCTGAGGCTGGAGCAGGTAGACACCAACCCAAGTCCAGGACCAGGAGAAAACTATCTATGTGATCCCTGCTTAGTCGGGTAAAGAGGTGGGGTAAAGAGAAATTTAGGTCTCACAGCAAATGAACAGGCCACCCATCTCTAGGCTTTCTGGTTACCTAACAGTCTAGGGATGGGACCACAGGGTGTTGCAGAGGGAGAAAGGGACAAGGGTTCTATCCGGGGTCCCTCTTTCTACAGTACCCCACACAAGGTGTTTATTTCAAAGAGCCTTGCATTTAGGAGTTCACATGCTTTTTCCCCAAATAGGGATTTGGCTGGGTTGTAGTAGTGCTAAAAATCTTTTAAGTTTTCCAACGTGTTTGGACAGCTATAAAATGGAATGGTACAACCATCAAGCTAGTAAGCAACACCTGAATGTTTGTTTTTTTTTTTTGAGACAGAGTCCCACTATGTAATCCAGGCTGGCCTTGAACTCACTACTACGTAGCCCAGGCTGGCTTCAAATTTGCAGTGGTCCTCCTGCCTCAGCCTCCCAAGTGTTGGGATTACAGGCATGCACCACCACACCTGGTAATACCTGGAGGTCTTTCTCAGGCTTTAATATCTCTTTTTGCTTCCAGGTTTTTGAAATCACAGTTGATTAACAGAGGTTTTGAAGATATATACATGCCTAGTACTGGGGCCCTCATGCTGCTGACAGCTTTGCACACCTGTGACAAGGTAGGAGCCCCCTATTCTAGGAGTCCATGGCAGCAGAGGATGTATGTAAATGGAACTTGGTATGACTCTTGATGTTCCTTCCCTGAGAGTCACCCTCAGATGAGAACTCTCGGCCTGTAGCCCATGGACAAAGGATTCCTCAGCCAGGAAAACACCTGCCGACCGGCTTGCTTGTGTACCTGCTATGCAGGGTCCTCTGAAGGATGGGTCCTGGGCCGACTTTGCCTTAATCCCCACAGCTTCCTGTCCCGGAGCTTGCTTCCTTCACCATGTGGTATTTAAGGTTCAAATCATGGCATTTGTTTGTTTGTTTTTGTTTTTTCCGGTACCAGGAATCAAACTCACAACCTCACGCTTGTCAGGCAGGCACTGTGCTGCTGAGCTAAATCCCCAGCCCTTAAGGTTCAAATCAAATTGCCTTTCTAAAAGGAAAATCTCAATAAAACTAGACATCTTTCTATGGGGACATCCTGGAGATGGCATGGCGTGGCACGCTTGGCCTTCCACACACCGCAACTTGGAAATCACAGGATGAGACGTTGCTGGTGGGATGTTGTCTATATGAACTTTGCAGCAGCAGAAAGTTGAACAGCAGTTTTGCAAGACAAGCTCTGACGCATGTGAAAGCCAGGATAAAAGCTGGCTCTATACTTTTTTCCCTATTTCCACACATACTAGGGGATTGAACCCACAGCCTTTACCCTGAGCTATATCCCAAACCCTCTTTATTTTGAAATAGTCTTGCTAAGTCCCTAATATCTGGACTTAAATTTCTCATCTTCTGGCCTCAGCCTCTCAGAATACAGGGGTTATAGGCATGCCTCACTGTGCTGTTTTCCTTATTTTACTGGATAAGTAAAATATTTATTTCCCGCTATACTTCCTTTTTTTTTTACTGGCCAAGTCTCTTGACTACAGTCTATTAGAATGGGAATCAAGTAGTAATGGGCTGTGGGCTGAGTCCCACCCAAGTTCTAAACCCAGCTCTGCCCCTCCCCCAGCACTGTCGGTAGGGTCATATTTAATCTGTTTCCTGGTTTGTTCGGTGGGGTAAGACTTCTCTGAGGTTGGAAGGCTGGCTTGAAGGAGCAGGTATATAAAGCACAGTGCTTGCCAAGTTTACCCTCACACAGGTGCCTGCGCAGGGGTGGGGCATGCCTTTCTGAACTCCTCCCATGTTCCTTACACGACTCTGACTGCACCGTAGGGGCTCAGTAAATGCTTTACTAACTCAGCTGTCCTTTCCAGGTCAGTGCTTATGGATTCATCACCCACAACTATGGGAAATATTCTGACCACTATTTTGAAAGAGAGAAGAAGCCACTGAGATTCTACGCAAACCACGACCTGCGCCTGGAAGCCACCCTGTGGAGGGATCTACACAAGGCCGGCATCCTTTGGCTGTACCAGCGCTAACTCCAAAGTGCAGATTCCTCTGCTTCTTGCAGAGCTATGACTCAAGTAGCCAAAGCCTTTTTCTTCAACCTTTGAAAGGTGCTCCAAGTCCTCAACTCTCTCCTTCCCAGTAAAGGTCACTGAGGTGAACCTGGGACTGCCATCAAAGCCATTCAATGCAGGGAAAGTAAACTCCAGTCTGACAGACGTCTTCACATGGTCTCGGGAAAGTGGACTGCTTTGTTGGATTTGTCTTACAACTGAACACTCCCAAGATGAGACAGCAAGATGTAGCCAGCTATCCCTGAGCCAAGCAGCTCAAAGCCATCAGTACATACCCACTTTCAGAATGTCAGCGAGCCCAGTCAGGGCCTATCAGTAACGAAGACCAAGCAGTGGGTGCAGGGAAATACTTCTCCCCAGCCCAACCTTGCCACTAAATGTTGTCTCCACACCAACGCCAAAGCTATTCAACTTGTAACACAAAACCTCTGCTTTAGGATCAAGTAGGAGAACAAAGAGTAGAGGGAAATTTGAGACTAGATAATTGCATAAATGATGGACGACCATTTTGTCTTTTTTTGTTGGGAGAAAGAAAACAGAAAATGCAGGGTGTTTGGCATGCAGAATCCGGAACAAGCACTGGTGGGTACACCTCAGTGGAAAGGTGCTTGCCTAGGCCAAGTTCTATTTTCAGCACCAGAGGAAAAAAACCCAAATGCAACCGTGAGAGATCCTGCTGTGTGGGCGTCAACTGCAGGGAAGTTATCTGCCACCGAGTGAAGTCCCTCTAGAGATGTAACAGCTTGCTAAGAGGACATTACTGGATGTTGAACCCTCACATCATGACCTTAATAAATTTGAGTCTAGCTAGCTGATAGGCAGTTTCTTAGTTTTGTGGGCTTCAAAATGGATTTTAATTCTAACTGGGTTACACACAGCCCTTGACCAAGCCCTATTCTCCAGCTTACCAACTAGTGACTTTGGCTTTTAGCAGTCTGATATGCTTTACTGCACAAAGCAGAGGGAGATGTCTCCCCAGGTACAGGTGGGCATACTTCCCAAAGCAACATCGGCACGGGCCAATTCACCAGGGCCCGGGAACTAGCCTCTCGACTCTGTGGTTTTGGAAGACTGACTATCAGCTCTGAGAAGAGATGGGGATGAACTCCATCACCAGAGACATAACAGAACTTTAGAAACCCAGAGACATCTGATGAACAGAATGGATGGATATTTGGGCTTTAAATACTAAACAGCTACTTGGGAAAGTTTATAGCATCCCAGAGAACAGGAATCAGACGAGAAATCATTATTCTTCAGTTACTGGTGTTAGGACGAGGATTCCCATCTAGCTTTCCCTTGGCATCACCACAGTCCCTGACATCCCATCCTATCGCTCACACAGTGACAGAGAAGCCCTATTGCCTGGTACCCCAGCAGTGCCTTGACACTCCACTTTGCTCCATCCCACCAAATCTGCAGATGCCAGGAGTACAATGCTTCATTAAATTCCAAGTAAAAGCAAAAGCAATGTTTGTAGGTGGCATTCGTGGGGGTACAATTTAGCAGGCAACTATGAAAACAGAAAACACCAGGATCAAATTCTATCACTGCGGCTAAGTATTGTCCTGCAAAAATCCTAAGAATGTGTCTTCCAAAAGTCAAAGAACAAGTAACCCACAAGGTAGTGAGTCAATTAAAACAACTTTATTTGTGATTCAAAGTCTAAAACCAAGACACTGGCTAAGAAATCCACCTGAGTCTTACCCAAACTGAACATGTTTTCCTGTTTCCCAGCAGAGTATATACAGGTCAATTTCAATTTGCAATCTCTGCAGTCCCTCCTGTACTTGAGATTATGCCCAGGCTACCTAAACTGGATTCTGAATGTTCTTGTACTCCAACTTCACTAACGGCCAAAGGTTTCTTAGATGAAACCTACACAGAAGACAGGTGAAGCAGGCCTGTGTGATCCGTCCAGCACCACTGGGAAATAACCTGTAAAAGCAAACAGGAAGTGAACAGCCAACTATGTGACTCAAAACTGAAGCTGGTTTTTTTTTTCCTGGTGTTAGTAGGGATTAAACCCAAGGCCTTTGAACTGAACTAAACTGTATCTGCAGCCATTTACTTTGAGACAGGGTCGGTAAATTACCCAGGCCAGGCTCGAATTTGGCATTCTGCCTCAGACTCCCAGAATGCTGAGATCATAGGCATGTGCCACCATGCCCAGCTGAAAGATAGAACTTAAGAATTTGGAAGCAAAAAAGGGCTATCAGGCTAGGACTCATTGTAACCATTATTTATGGACATATGTGTGTTCAGAGAACACATCTGGGCAGAATCAAGTTTCAATGCAAGGCAGGGGATATAGCTCAGTGGCACAGCACCTGCTTGGCAAGCACAAGGTCCTGAGTTCGATTCCCAGTACCCCTCCCAAAAAGTTTCAATGCAAGCTGGTAAGATTTCAAGCTGACTAGTTTCAAGGAGTGTCTAAGATAAAATAAAAGTTCTTGCTAAGTGGTAAGAAAATAATTCCCAGTAAGCATATATTCAACTCCCTCTGGACATGAACTGGAGGGTTTACTCAAGTCCTACAGAACAGTCAAGTCGACTCTCAGAAGCAGTCTCACTTCCTAACCGGCCATTTCACTTTGCTTTATTTGCAAGCTGTAAGCTGCTAGGACCAATGTTCAGGCTCATTAAACCTCACCCCAAACGCAGCTTCCCGGGTAACTGAACAAAAATGTGACCTTAAAAAAAAAAAGAACCCTAAATGTAAGGAGCCTGCGCACAGCTGCCAATTTCAACAGAAAAGGGTAATCTGTGTCCACTTCAAGTGTGGCATTTAAGTGAGAACAAAGACATCCCCACCAGCACTACCACTTTAGTTCTTTCTTGCTCATGTGCCAGCCCCTAGAATCCAAGCAGCAGCCCTGTGCCAGCCATGCCATTCAGACAGGACCTAAGCTAAATATGCAGGCTCCTGGTGTTAACAAAGCATCTGGAAACCAAACAGCTCTGCCAGGGCCATGGTACCCTTTCTTTCCTAAATGTCAGGACACTGCTGTGGACACAGGGTCAGAGTCATTAACCATTCTCACTGCTGCAAGCTGGCATGTGTTATACATTCCCATCTCTGTTTCAAAGAGCACATTCATTTTCTCAAAATACGTGACAAACCCTCTTTCATTCTACAATAAGCATAAAGCAAGGGGCCAGCATTAACAGGGTAACCAGATCTTTGGTTTTTAAGCTTCAGAAGGATGTACTATACTGGGGCCCTGGCTAGGCACACTCAACTCCCTATGGAGTTCGCTCAGCTCAATCCCTGATAGAGCCTGAACTTTTTTTTTTTTTTTTGAGCCTGAACTTCTTTTAGAGCATGCAGCCACCTCTAAACCTCAGAATGAATTATTTCCCTTCAGTTGAGATTTTCAGACAGGGATAACAATCATAGATTTGTGGGGCTTCTCAGGGACACAAAAGATGGGTACACAAAGCTTACAGACACCAGGAGAGAACTATCTCACTTGCCTGCAAAGCAGTGTTCAGTGTTCTGTCTCACATTTCAAATGCTTCAGCAAAGCTAACAAAACTAGGTTAAAGTCTCCCAGCCACTTTTCACAGACTTAAGACCAGGGTGGGGCAAGTAAAAGAATTAACACCCCACCCAGCGCTGCTCAGGTCTTCTTTGCTTACATGAATGATATACTCTGGGTCCAGGTCCAAGTCTGGAACCAGGCTGTCCAACACAGTGTAGCTACCTGAGGATCCTTTTTCAGCCTCAGAAACTGGGACTGAGAATGTACCTGGTAAGGAAGAGAAATTTTTTTTTTTTCCTTTTTTTTGAGACAGGGTCTCACTGTGCAGTCCAGGCTGGCCATGAACTCACTTTGTAGCCCAGGTTGGTCTCAAACTCACAACGATCCTCCTGCCTCAGCCTCCCGAGTGCTGGGATTACAAGAGTGCACCACCATGCCTGGCCAGGAAGAGAAATTTGAAAAGAAAACACCTACTTAAAAAGATATACACAACACTTTTTAAAATCTTGCCTCAATATTTTTTTTGTTTTTGTCTTTTTGAGAGGGTCTCACTATGCAGTTCAGGCAGGCCTTGAACTTATTTTGTAGACCAGGCTGGTCTTCAACTTGCAATGACCCTCCTGCCTCAGCCTCCCAGAGTGCTGGGATTACAGGTGTGCACAACCATGCCCAGCCTTTCTTGCCTGAATTTTGCAGCAAGCAAATGGGAAGCTGAGTTTCAGAGATCCACATTCCACACAGAAAGGCCTTTGCCTTCAGACAGGGATAACTTTACATCATCATGGACTCAGCTCCAACCATATGCTAGACCACAACACTGCCAAGAATATATGCAAACTTTCTTCTTAAAATATTGTGATTTACAGTATTCCCCTCACATGAACTCTCAATCTACATTGTCTACTTTATTAAGATGTTTTCCCTCTATGGCAAAAGCTATTTCTATCTACTGTCTAGATGTACCCAATGTCCCAGACCTGGCATACAAATAGCTCCTACCTTTAAGACAGGGTCACTCAGCAGTGTCTGAGAATTCAGTAGGCGGTATGCATTTTAGCAGGTAATAAAATGCCTGAGATAGTATAGTTCACTCATCATTTCAGCTAGCCTAATGAAGGCCAGCTGCATACACAGCACCTCCTGCCAAGAAACAACAATATCAAACAAGGTCATTCATTTCTCCTTCACCCACTGGAGTACATAAAAATACCCTGCAGAACAAGCACGTGGCTTTCAGATTTTTTTAGAGGATTAGAGATCTGCCTCAAGAGCTACTTTAAAATAGCCAGCACTATAATCTTGCTATAATAAAATCCTTGAGCTAAAAGCAGATCAGATCAACAAATTGTCCCTAGATAGATGCCTGTTCTGACAGACAATACATCTGGTTGTTGGGCTTCAAAACAGACCCATTCTTCTCGCTGTAAGTGGAGTCCAGGAATCAGCACACTTCAACACTCTGTAGGTGATTCTGACATATAACCAGGTTTGGAAACCACTAACATTACAAACAAAAAAAGAAAGGACCAATGCCATTACCTGTTAGCAGGCCAAGACTGGTACTCAGATCTCTAGTCTAATATATAATTTCCAAGAATTTTTCAATCTCAGCTTCTCTGACATTTTAGGTTAATAAGTTCTCATAGAAGCAGTAGGATATTCTGCATCTACTAGATGCTAGGTGTATCCTCCATCTACAGTTGAGAACCACCGATCTAATCTAACTTACCAATTGATTGTCTAGGGTGTGGTGGCACACACCTGCAATCCCAGCACTCAGGAGGCTGAGGCAGGAGGATCATGGCAAGCTGAGGACCAGCCTGGGCTACAAAGTGAGCTCAAGGCCTGCCTGAACTGCATAGCGAGATCCTGTCTCAAAAAGCCAAAAAAAAAAAGAAGAAAAACCAAACCAATTGGTTTAATTTTGGGCAAGACAACTCCCTAAGCCTCAGTTTATTAACTTATGTAATAGCCAAGTGGAGAGGAAAAATCTACCCAAACAGAAATAATTCTGTACTACTCCCCTATTCTAGGCCATCAAAATTGTTAAAGACTCACATATCTCCAAATCTAACCATTACTTACAGGAGACCATAACCTATGCAATCCTATGAAACAGCTAAAAATCTTACCATTTATAGAAATTGCACCATGAAGATCCTTCAGCTCAACATTATACGCTGAGTTTTCATATGACTTCTTTCAAAGTCCACAGCCAGCACCTTCAATCTACCAGGAACACAAACTTCACTCGTAACACAAACTACGTTAAGGAATTTATTCCCAAAATATGTTTAAAAGTTGAGCCTCAGTAAGTCAGGACTCTACAAAAAATGTCATTTCAGACAGGGATAACTTTAATCATCCTCAGCTCAACCAGCAACAAACTCCTAAGCCCAGCCAACCCTAACTCATCCACGTTTTTCATCCCTTGCAAAGTGGCCGTCGAATTGGCTTCATTTAAACAGTGACACCTGGGCTGGGGATTTAGCTCAGTGGCATAGCGCCTGCCTGGCAAGCACAAGGTTGTGAGTTCAATTCCCGGTACCAGAAAAAAACGAACAAAAAAATCTTAATAGGAAGCATTTCAGGCTGGGGATTTAGCTCAGCGGCAAAAGCGCCTGCCTGGCAAGCGCAAGGTCGTGAGTTCGGTTCCCGGTACCGGAGAAAAACCAAAAAAGAAAAAAAAACAAAAAAAAAAACCTAACAGTGACACCTAGTGGCCCGAAATAACACCAGCACCCACCCTCCCCGCTTTTTACCATTCAAGAATTAGCATTGCAGATTCTGGGTAGTTCTTACCCTAAAGGGACTTAAGACCAGCATGCATGCACGCGTACAGCTGAATTTAATTTCAGAAGTAAATACAAGGCAGACAGACCATTACACCATCTCTGCTTTCTTGGGGACCGCCCAGATCCTGGCCTGTCTCCATCCACTGCTTTTAAGCTCATCGTCTTTGCAGATGCCAACGAAAGGCCTTCAGGGAAGAAAAAAAGGTTCAGTATTAAAGCTGTGAATTTCAGAGTCTACAATCCCATTCATTAAATAAATGTCCCTAAGCAAAAATGGCTGGCTGGGTAGTCCTCAAGTGTTACGTATTCACACGTTAACACTACTGATGATTTAAGAACTGCCGCCGGCGGAGTGCCTGGGCAAGAACGGGGACCCCCAACCCGCCCCCCATCAAGGCCGCCGGCTTGCATGCTCAACATAGGCACGGCCCTGAGTACTGGGTCGCGCTGGGTGCAAAGACTTCCTTCTTTCAGGTGCTCTTCCAAGCCAAAAACTGGCTTCAGCTCTCTCCATTCAAAAAAAAACAGTAACAGAAAAACTCGCCTTCTGGAAAGCACTTTCTCATCCAGGAGCTCAACCCTCCCTCCCAACTCTGTAAGGAGACTGGGCTTATAATCGCCACTTGAGGTCTGAGGAAGAGGAGGCCCAGAGTGTTAGCCCCAAGAAAACCCTTATAACATCACCAAAATCTCGAGCCTGCTCACCGGGATCGGCACGGAGCAGAACAGCCATGACTTCCACGCACGAGGCAGACCTCGTAAAGAACGCGAGACTGCGCCTGCGCGCAAGTCTTCCCAGAAGTCTCGCCGGAGAGCTCGCGATGCTAAGAAAGGTCTCATGGGAAGTGTAGTTCGAAACAGCCGTCGCTGAGGGGCAGCTGAGTCTTCACCTCAGCGATACTGTGAAGCCAGGGTAAGATGGTGGCCGCCACCAGGGGCAGCAGAGGGTCGGGGGTGGGAAGCCCGCCTGTGGAGAACTGTAGCGGTCAGAAAAGGGAAGGTGGAGGTTACTTCTACCAGAAAGTCGCTGAGCTTCTCAGTACACAGACGGTCCCTGGGCGAGCCTGGGAGGGCGCAGTGTGAAGGGGCAGGAAGCAAGGAGGAGGCTGAGGACCAGCCGAAGTTCCTTTGTGATTGCTCTGCGGTAATTTAGGGTGGTTCGCTGAGTTAGTGTAAGAGATTCCGGGGGAATCCTTCGACCGCCCGGTCTAGTGCTTTTAAAATTGGATTGCGGGGCTGGGGATTTAGCTCAGCAGCAGAGAGCCTGCCTGGCAAGCGTGAGGTCATGAGTTCGATTCCTGGTACCGGAAAAAAAAACAAAACAAAAATAACAATAAAATTGGATTGAGCTGGGTATGGCGGGCACGCCTGTAATCTCCACACGCTGGGAGGCAGTGGCAAGAGGATTACAATTTCGAGCCTAGCCTGGGCAATTCAGTGATTTAGTGAGACCCTGTCTTACAGTTTTAAAATAAAATATGAAGGGGTGGGAATAGAGCTCAGTGTGAAAGCCCTGGATTCCAGCCTCCAGGATGGCACGAGAAAGAGAGAAGAAAGAAGGGGAAAATGGAGGTAGGGCGGGAGGGAAGGGAAGGAAGAGTTGCGGGGACAGGGCATGGGGCGTCTCTAGGGCTGGTCTAACCCACTGAGCCGGGGCGGGAGCCCCACAGTCGCCAGGGTTCCCTTAATTGAGCGGGGTAGCAAAGTAAACACATTAAGCCAGGGATGTGGCTCGGGGATAGAGCCCTTGCCTCACCAAAGCAAGGGCCTGTGCCCAGCTCAGTAACAAAAAGTCAGGGGCAGAATTTACACCTATTTGGAAATGAGTTTAAATTTGCAAGACCATGAATCCCTTTCTGCATTCCCCTCTTCCATTCCCATCAACCCATTAGTAACGATCTCTGGGGCATTTAGTCTTATTTTCTTCTGCATAACATACGGTAATATGTTGTGGGTATTTATTTTCTAGTTTCCACATTTGTTCCCCCACCTGTTCCCAGTTTGATTTTAAACTCTGCAAGAGCAAGAAAGATCTTTTTTTGTTTTTTCTTTTGTCATCTCCTCACAATGCTGGGTTTGGTATTTGGCTGTCTCTGCCCTCAGCAATAAGCACTGAGCAAATCATCATTAATTCGTCCAGCAGGAACTTTGGCTCTTGGCATCTCTGTTTTACCCTTGATGAGAAATTAATTGAAGAAGAATGTGTCCCCTTTCTGCAAAGTTCCTTTCATTTGAGACTTGCTGAGGGAGCTCTGAGAAATTTGCCAAAAGCTGGCTGTGAAACTATTATAGTGAGCGAATGACCTGCTGTAGGCAAAAGAATAATAATAGTTAATACCTTAGAGCATGTACTAGGGGCTGTTCACTGCACTGAATTCTTTACATTAACTCATTTAAACCTTACAGGCCGGGCATGGTGGCGCACGTCTATAATCCCAGCACTTGGAAGGCTGAGGCAGGAGGATTGTGGCAAGTTTGAGACCAGCCTGGGCTAGAAAGTAAGCTCAAGTCCACCCTAAATTGCATAGCAAGACCTTGTCTCAAAAAGACAAAGAACAAAACAAAACATAAACCTTACAACTGCACTGTGAAATACTAGCCCATTTTACAGAAGAGAAAATGGAAACATTGAGAGATAAAGGAACTTGCCCACATTTCTCACAACTGGTAACTGCCAGAATCAGGATTTGATCCTAGCCTTCAGAATTCATGCTTTCGTCAGCACTAAGTTAATTGTTCTGCACCATAAATGAGTTGATCTAATATATAAGAACTTTTGAAGGGCAAAAGGGAAGAGAATTTCTGTTTGCAGGGACAGTTGGGCACACATCAGAAATGAAAGGAGAATGCTGGGTTCCTGCTCCACTGTTTTGAGACCCTTGATAGCAGTAAGAGTGAAGGTGAGAGTCTGCAGGAGGTGATTTTGTTATAGGGATGATATCGCACCTCCAAATGATATAAGGGAAATATTTTAACTCCCAACCTGCTAGATGTCCAATACGATGAGTTCATGTTCCCAAAATTGAAGAATGAATTCTAAAGAACAAAGAGGTTAAGAGCAGGAAATATTTATTGAGGGAAAGAAGGCTCCTGCCTAAGAGAGACAGGAGGGGACCCGGAAAGTGGGTTGCCCATGAGCCCACTTCTCAAAGGAAGCTTTATGCAGCAAAATCACAAGGTTGTACAAGGTGGGACAAAACTATGGGCAACCAGTAAGATTACAAGTATAGTCACTTAGGTAATGCTGATCCAACGGGGAAGCAAGTCATGTAGCAAATGTACGTGGAAAGAATAAGGACCTTTCACGGAAGGATGGTCAAGGAGGTCTTGGTCTCCCACCCAGGTGCCTGATGCCTATTTTAAAATATTGATCATTATTGTTTTCTCTCAGGGAAACATGCAGGTATAGTCATTCCATCTTTATCTTGAGGCCTGGCCTTCAACGAATGTGCCTTCACCCACAGTTGTAACATGTTCTTACCTTCTGCACTGGCTTCTTCAAGGGCCTAGCCCTGTCTGACTGCCAGGTCAGTCTTAGCTGTCTATACTACTTTGGGAAGGACTGTGAGGATCTAGGCTCTTGCAGGCTGTCTTGGCCCCAGACTAGTTGCCTCAGACCCTGTTTGTAGGCAAGGCCATTTTCCATAGCTCCCTACCCTGCCACAGTCACTGTGTAGCTTTCACACCTGATAGGGCACAGCTTCCCCTGCAGTGCACAGTTGTGCTTAGCACAGCAGCATTGTCGCAGCTGATGGGGAGCCACAGGCAGCTGGGCAGTGGCCAAGAAGATGGAACAAAATACAAGAAGTCTTGTGCCTGAGCGCACTCGAGATACAACTATGGAGGCAGTCCAGAAAGAACTAGAGAAACCTCAGAGAGTGAGCAGCTACTCGGGACAGACCAGCTGTGACTGAAGTGTTAATGTTACTGTGATCTCATCTGCACTCATTGCTAGTGAGATCCGGTATGTTTGGGTTTTACAGACAGTGGAATTGTTGTATAGCTGTTATACAAGACTAGTGCAGCCCTGTATTTACTGACATGGGAAGAATCCCAGTCTATTTATAAGTAACAGAAGTAGATCACAACCAAACCGGGCAGGAGTCCCCAGTGCTGTTCAGGGACCCAGGCTCTGAGTGCAAAGGAAGAGTTAGTCAGCTGGTCTGCTGTGTTTAGCAGTCACTGGTAGATTTAAGACATGGTATCTAAAACACACAGTAATAGGAAACAGAGTCGGGGCTGGGGATTTAGCTCAGCGGCAAAAGCACCTGCCTGGCAAGCGCAAGGCCGTGAGTTCGGTTCCTGGTACCGGAGAAAAAAAAAAAGAAAACAGAGTCTTTGCACTGTTGAAGTTAATTCCTTAACCCTGAAAGGAATCTTTAATTTTATTAGTAAGAACACAAAAGAGGATAGATCATATCCCAGCAGCTAGCTGTTGACAATCGGAGCAGTTGCACTGAAGTACATCTGAGTGTCAGCACTGGTAGTGGCCCTTCTGCAAGCTCTTCCTCCATCTTGTCTGCAGCGTGAATCAGGCCAAGTCTGGGAAATTTTTCATGCTTTTAAAAGTAACAACTCTCTTCTGGCTTTGGAACACTGTGAAGACACAATGCTTGGGACTGGTGTGGCCATTTTGCATCCATGAGACTTCCTTCAAAGCAAGAGCTGAAGGCCTATGAAGGCAGAGAGTAAAGAAAACATAATCTAAGTCCCTGATGATTCCATTGAATTGCTGAAATAGCTAGTCCTAAAACTCAGACCTCTTCGGCTCTCTTGTTCTGATTCAGAGATATATTTTTATATTTCAGTATTTCTGAATGCAGGATGTGTTTTACAAGCAATGTCATCTTAGTTTCTGTGAAATACAAAAGGTGAGTTTTAAAAATAAATCTCTGTATTGTTTAAGTCATTTTAATTGGGTATTCCATTAGAGTCAGAATCATCCTAAATGATACTGGCACTTCTCATATCTTTCTTAGTAGGTAAGAAGAATTCCCTGAAAATGAATCATGGCAAAACACAGAAAATGGTTTGAGTGTGTGAGTTACAGTACTGTTATAGTTTGGATGTTGAATGCCCCCCAGAAGTCCACATGTTAAAAAGTTGGTCTCTAGGGTGGCATTGTGGGAGGTGGTAGAACCTTTAGGAGGTGAAGCTCAGTGAGATGTCTTTAGGTAGTAAGGGTGTGGCCTTGAGAGGGATTTGGGGATCCCAAACTCTTCCCCTTCCTCTCTGCCTCTAGGCTTAGGAACTAGCAGTTTGTGCCACCTCCTATCCACCATGATCTGCTGCCTTCCTAGAGGCCCAAAGCAAAGGCCCAAAGTCTTGGACTGGACCCCTCCATAACTATGAACCAAAATAAAATAAAATTAGTGAATTACTTTATCTCAGGTGTTTTATTATACTACCAGAACACTAACATGACCACCACAATACGTTTCCTAAAATATTGTGCAATGACAGTGGAACATTTTTTCATAACTCCAGTGATTTCAGTTCATCGCCCTACAAAGTTCATCATGAAAACATACAGGATTTTTTTCTTCCCAGAAGATTATGAAACATCACCACAAATGTTGTTCATCAAAAAATCTTAGATCACTGAATGTAGTAGCTTTAACACTCTGGAGGAGGAGAACTCTAACAATGTGTACCCTCTATTTATCAAGAATAGAGACCTTGGCATTGTATATAATTTCTTTGAGCTTACAATAATATTCAAGAAGAAAAGCAGTGTATTTCACTCACCTGCTCTGCAGAGATGTTGCCTTTAATAAAACCGTTACTTTAAAAATGGATTTTATAGCAGGCATGGTGGTACACACCTCTGATCCCAGCACTCTGGAAGGCTGAGGCAGGAGGATTGAAAATTCACAGCCTGGGCAGTTGAGCAACTTACAGAGATCCTGAGAATGCAGTTCAGTATATAAGAGGACTGGGGATCTACCTCAGTATGAAAGCCCTGAATTCAGTCCTTAGCTCCACACACACAAAAAAGAATTTAGAAAAATAAAAATAAACAAATTTGAAGAATATGTAATATTCTCTGGCCCTCATTTGCTATTTCCTGGACGCGTCTTTCCATTCCCAGAAATCTGTCTTCTCACAACTGTTGCATAACCTTTCTTGTGGTGGTGTTTGTTCCCTTTGCCTTAAAATTTCCTTCCCCTCATCTCCCCTGCTTGGAAAAGTCCAGCTTATAAATACCTCCTCTGCATAGTCTTGGCTATGATGCTACAGCAGTCCCCCAGCGGTTTGCTCATGACTCCTTTCTTGTGGCTCCTTTATTGTGGCCGGTAGTTTAGCACATGCTCTGCAATCAGACCGACCTGGAGGAAAGTCCCAGCTCTGCTGATTCTAGCTGTGTAACCACAGACAGATTACTTCACCTGTCCGTAAGACCCATTTTTCTCAGCTGTAAAATGGGAGGTGTGGTGATCATCCAAACCCACAGACTGTTTTACAACTGTGCATGCAAAGTACTTAACACGGTGCCTAGGTACAAGATAAAAACCCAGTGAATGGGAGCTCCTGTTGCTTAGACATATTTCTAATCCTCATTGTGCTGTTTGGAATTATTTTTTTCCTGTCTGGCTTTTCTGCTAGACTGTGAGCAAAACAAGGATTGGGTCTTTGTTCTTGTTTTAACTGTGTTGTCATCTTTATTGAGGTATAATATATGTCAATAAAATACATCCACTCAAAATGTGCCATTAGAGTCCAATAAGCATAATCCCTGACACAATCTAGAACATTTTTGTCATCCCAAAGAGCACCTTCAAACCTTATTACAGTCAGCCCCATTCCAGTCCTGGCCCTCCCAGCCACTGATCTGCATTCTGTCATTAACCATTAGTTTTACCTGTCCTAGAATTTCATAAATAAAATCCCACAAGAGGTGTTCTTTTTGTGTCTGGCTTCTCAGTTTACCCATGTTGTTGCTGTTGTCCATAGTTCATGTCTTTTTATTGCTGAGTATTATTCCATTGTATTAACATACCTCCGTTTACACATTCACGTGGTGGTGGATATTTAGGTTGCTTCCAGTTTGGAGCTGTTGTTAATAGAACTGCTTGAACATTTCTGTAAAATATTTTTATGGACACAAATTTTCATTCCTCTTTGATTCACGTTTAAGGGAACATCACACTGATTTCCCAAGTGGTTTTATTATAGGATTACAGTTTCTCCATATCTTCACCTTATTATAGTCACTTTTTAATTTTAACCACTCTAGTGGTATGTCATGCCATCTCATTGTGCTTTTGACTTGCATTTCCCCTGATGATTTATGATACTGAACATCCTTCTATATGTTCATTGATTTTATATATACTTTAGGTATCGTGGCTCCTCCCCCATTTAAAAAAATTTTGCTGTCTTATTATTATTGAAATGTAAAAGTTCTTTACATATTCTGGATACAAGTCTTTCTCAAATATTTGGCAAATATTTTCTCCTATGCTTTCCAAGAGCAGAAGTTTAACTTTGATAAAGTCCAATGGATTTTTCTTTTACGGTTAGCGCTTTCTGTATCTTATTGAAAGGACCTTCTTTTATCCAGTGAGACACCTTTGTTGCTCTGTTTTTGGATTCCACTGGTCTACTGAATGTCCTTATGAATAGCAGGGAATTGTCTCTGGGCAGAGACCAAGGCAGGCATGGGACCATTGTCCTGTGTGCTGCCTGTTGTCAGGTATCTATTTCTTATATTTTGCCCAGTTTCCTGGTTGGTTGTGGCAGAAGCTCTTAATCTTTTTTTTTTTTTGTACTGAGAATCGAACTCATGAACTTGTTCTTGCCAGGCAGGCACTATGCCACTGAACTACATTCCCGGCCCTTAATCCATTTTTGTATCCAGAGTGCCTGGCACACAAGCCCTGCATAAATGTTTGTCACGTGGCAAGCTTTTGTTGGCACGTGCAGACACAGTCTCTCTGGATGAGGAAAATCTGTGAGGGCCCTGCGGTCATCTGGTCCACCCCTTCATTTTACTCAGTGGTCCTTTTCCTGAGGAGGGCACCAGCCCATCTAGATTCAACACAGTTATTGAATGGGGAAAACTGAGGTCTAGAGAACAAAGGGTTGCATGAGCAGGCAGGGCTCAGCTGGCAGAACTAGGCTTCCTAGGCTGGATCTCTGTATGCACTAAGTGCAAGGGCAGGGAATGATACAGACTCTTTTATTACCGTACCACTCCCAACACCTGACACGGTGTGTGTGCATTGTAGCTTCCCAGTACATACTTGTAAGTAAAAAAGCAAATGAATAAATTAATTTCTTTTAATGCTTAGTTCACATGGCTTCTGCATATATTAACTCTGTGTGGGGGTGTGTGTGTATGTGTGTATTCACATAGGGACAAGACTGGTATTCCTCCCCCAGCTCATAGGCTCAGAGCATGTCTATAAATCTTTTGTTTTGTTGTAATTTTCTTAGCCACCATCTAGTCTAACCCCCACTAGGGGGCACATGTATCCCACAGAGAGGGTCTGTAGTCCTTAGATAAAAAGATTTGTTTCCAGCTTGTCCTGAATCCCTCTTGAAGCCACCTTTTTGGTCTCTGTCCTGCATCCTCGCCTCACAAACACAAACAGGTCAAAACAGTCCTCTGCCTCGCACTCCCTGCTCTCCAGCTGGGCTACTGGCTGCCTGTCTCTCTTCTCCCCAGCGTTCTGCCCCTGGTTGTAGGAGGCAGTGACAGTGACTATGAGCGATGACCTTGCTGTCACATCCCTGCCAGGGCCACTGCTTCCCTGAGGGCCACTGATGGATCCTGAGGAGGCAGCTCTTCACTTCCCTCAGCTGGCAGGCAAGCACTGGCCTTTCTTGGGCCCAGAGTCTGATCTGTCCTTGCCTGACATGTCCCTGAAGAGATAGCAGCAGGAATAACCCTGGCAACCCTGGCACCAGCAAAGACATGTCCAGGGCCAGTCCAGGCTCCAGTGTTTGTGTCCTTGTAGACAGGTCACACCTGCAATTTCCGCACCAACCCCAGACTCTGGTCCTTTCTGCCCAATGGTTTGGCATCAGATTTCCCAAATGCAGGCCTGGCTTCACTGCTAGCTGTGAGTGACCTTGAGCAGGTTCTGTGAACTTTACTTCCCTGAGTGGGTAAATAAAGACAGCAATAGTTCCTGTTTCATAAATGAGATAGTGCTTATAAATAAGGCACTGGGTACAGTGCCTCACACGTAAAAATGTTTGATACATGTTAGCCATTATTAATAGCATTATTGAGGTCATCATCCTTATGTTAATGTAAGCCTCAGCATAGGCCATTTTGCCATTTTCCTTGTTTTGCAGCTCCCAAAGCAGCATTACTTCCCTCCAGCTCGAGGGCTCAGGCTTCCTCCTCCCAGTGAGGCCCCTGCAGAGGGGCCCAGGTGCCTGTGGGGTCAGTGGGGTACATGGCTCATGCATTGCGCCTGCCTCAGATTGGGCTCCAGGCCTTGGCCATGTAGGCTCGGGACAGGGCCTCTGGGGCACACCTTCCTCGGGACTGCTTTGCACACAGACACACGCCAGACATTCAAGACGGGCAGGTGCTCTCCCAAAGCCACATCTGCACCCCAGGCTGATGCAGGACAGCAGCTGCTGCTGCAGCTGCCATGGCTACTTCCTTGCTCCTTTCCACCACCTCATTAGCTCTCTGGTCATGTTCCAATCTCCAAGACAGACTGGCAGCAACCCTGAGTGTCAGCCACAGAAGGAGCAGACAGCAGCACCTCCCTGCTCCGGCTGCTGCCCTTGGCCACCCTGCAGCCCTGAGCAGCCTCTTCCTTGTCACTCAAGCTCTGGCCAGCAGAAAGCTTAGCATTCAGATGAGGAGGGAGGGGCATGAGGGCAAATGATGCCTGTCTTCCTCAGCAGCTGAGATGCACTTGGGAAGCAGAGCCAGTGAAGGGAGATATCCAGCCCAAGACCCCAGTGGAAGTGGAGACAGAACTCTGGCATACATAGGGGCCGGGCAGTCCTTGCCAGTACAGGCTCACTGGATGCCCTCTGCCCTCCTCTAGTTTACCTTGTACTTGCCCATCACCTGCTGATTCTATATATGGAGAGGCAGGGCAGGGAAGACCATGGAGTGAGAAGGAAGGAACTCTAACTATTCTGAATCTGCCATGGTGCAGTGACTTACAGTTCCCAGATAAACTGCACTAGCTCACATGTACGGAAGACTTACTAGGTGTGCTAATCACTACATACACTATCAAACCCTCACACCAACTGAGAAGTAAGTACTACTATCTCCATCTTATAGAAAGAAGTAAGCTGAGGCATAGAGACATGCCATAAGAAACCGAAGGTCACCGGGGAGGAAATGGTGGAGTGGAGATTCAGATCCAGATGCTCTGACTCCAGAGTCCTCCCTCTTAGCTTCTTCACTGTTACTTCATCAGAGCCAGCACCCTGAATTAGGACTAACCCAGCGCTTCACTTCAGCTCTCTCTTAACTGCCCTTAGCTCTCTCTCTCTACCAAGCCCCTAAGCATTCTGCTCCCATTGCCAAGCAGCGGCTCTTTCCAAGGAAATGGGGAAAGGACTCGCTCTGTGGTGACAGTGGCATGGCCACAATTTAAGTGACTTCCCCTAAAAGGCTTCACCTTTGACCCAGGCTCCACACCCACCCTGTGATGGGTGCTAGTGGGCCAAGGAGGGGCACTTGGGTCCCAGAGCCGGTAGAGGAGTTCCACCCGAGGGAGGCAACTCTGCAGCAGGAGCTGCAAATGTGCAGATTTCACAGAGAACCCAGGGGTGGGAGAGGCCCCGGGAATAAGAGGCGAGCGTGGGCTGGGTGTGCGGGGAAGGTGTAAACACAATCTGCTCCCACCAAAGCCAGCCTGCTCTCTAAGGGAGAGATCCCCTCCCTCCCAGCCCACATGGCACCCCAGCTGCCAGGCCCAGGCAGCCACATGCCCCACTGACAGCACCCTCTTCTCTCCTTCCTACCCTTCACCTGGAATGGATCCTGCCCAGGCTTCCCAAACGGTGCCGCCAAGGGTGCCACCCTGTGGAAGTGTGCCTAGGCCCGGAGCCAGCCCTGTGTACCTGCTCCATGACCTTGGTCTGACAATTCCTCAGACCATTGGAAGAAGGTGGGCAACTCAGAGATGGCAGAGAGCGGAGGCAAAGATGAGGTGACAGGAACATGGCAAATAGATTAGAGAATGGCTCCGAGGATGGGATCAGGGAACACAGACGGGGGAGGGGGTCCTGGGAACAGCGCCCTCTGGCCCTCAGTCTGGCAGTCCTGTCACCAGGAAGGCTCAGGCCTCCCAGGAGAAAGACAAGCTGACAGGAGCTGAGACAGGTGGCCACAGGCTCATGCCCTAGGTCAGGTGGGTGCTCTGGCTCTGGCAGGCTCCTTCCCCTGACGCGACCTTACCCTGCCTCCTCCCTGCCCTACTTTGAGAGGCTCCCACGGAAGGCTCCTGCAGCATCCGCAGGCTCTGGCCTCCTCCGTCAGCCTCAGAGTAGGTTCCCTTTCAGCTGCTGCATCTCTCACTGCCTCCCCTCAGATGTGAAGCGTGGCTGGGCGCTGCTGTCTAGAGAACTCTTCCATCTCCTGCTGCTTGAAAGTCAAGGGCAGAGGCCAGCCAGGCAGACGTCGCTGCTGGGCTGGCAGCAGGGGGCTGGACCGGGAGGAGAGATGCCCGAGTGGGGGCATGGTGGGGGTGCTTTTGAAGATTAATGGCTGTGAGACAGTTGGGAGCAGCTGCCTGCAGGGTCTGCGCCTGGATCTGTAAGCAAGCGGAAATCTGCTTTGATCTCTGCTCAGGATCAGGGCAGGACTGTAAAGAGAGAGGAATGGCAGAGCAGCTGGGGGCAAAGGAGGCCACCACCATTACTGAGCAGTCAGTATATTGACAAAAACAAGTGTCATGATTTTTTCCTTCCCACACGCTACTGCCCATTTGGAACATGCGCGCACACCCATACACATAGACAACGCATTCAGAAGACCAGCTGGTGACTGCTCCCATCCAGCTGCAGGCAGACACGTCACAGATCCAGCAGGCCTTTCCTACGGATGATTTCAGCAGAGCAGCCAATGACAGGGTGAAGTCTGGGGAGCAGAGAGAGGCAAGTGGCACTGAAAATGGGGACCACCAGGGCAAACTGACAGCGACACAGCCTGGACCACAAGCTGGCCTAACAGAATCACTCTGGAGCCACCACACAGTTGACCAAGCTTGGTGGGTTTTTGTTTTTTGTTTTCTTGTGGGTTTTTTTTAATCTTTTGAGATAGGGTCCCGCTATGCAGCTCAGGCTGGCTTTCAGCTGACTTTGTAGCCCAGGCTGGACTCAAACTCGCAAAGATCCTCCTGCCTCAGCCTCCGGAGTGCTGGGATTACAGGCATGTGCCACCACACCCAGCACAGTTGACCAAGCTAACAGACCTCTCCTTTCACCAAGCAGCTGGAGACCAAGTTAGGTTCTGCAGCCTCAAAGTGAGTCTTGGGCCCCTCCACCTAACAACTTAGGTGACACTGGACAAATTATTTAACCACCTTCTTTTTCCTCATTTATAAGATGCAGACGGTCTGCATGGGTTATTGTGAGAAATGAATTGGAGAAAAATGGAAACCCTTGAGTCATGAGTGTGAGCTCTCCGCTGTGCGTTGATTCAGGATTCTCCTCACTCTCTGCATGGTCCTGCCTCTTGGTTGTACTGCTGGGCTGCCCCGGAGTTAACCTGGTGGACCCTAACAAGCCCCTCTCTCTGGACCTTCTCAGGTTCCTCTGTCCCTCAGATGATGCCCAGGAACTCAAAGGGAAGGGAGCCCAAGAGCAGCAAGCAGCTCTGTTCTTCTTGCCAGCCCGAAGCAGGTCTCACCGAGGAGCCCCATAGCCGGAGTCTGTCCAGGGGCTAAAAGGGAGGAGCCTACCTTCTCCATCGCCTCTTCTCCCCTTCCCCTAATTGCTGTCGTTTCTGAACCCATGGCATCCTCCAGGGCCGGGGACAAATGAAGACTTCGGCTGAAATAGGAAGCCAAAACGATCAGTACTTTCTCCCGTGCCCACAGTCAGGCCAAGAATCTCCAAGGGGACATCCCGGAGCACCCCCTCTTGCTTAGAAGGCTCTAGCAGAATCCTCAGGCCCCAGCACAGCCACCACCTATCCCATACACGGTTCCCTCCTAACGAGCCCTTGCCTGTGGTCTGGAATGCATCAGGCTCACAGTGGAGCTGAACGAAGGACTCCAACTTCCCACTCAGCCTCCACCAGTGACCACCAGAGCCGAAGACAGCCTGGTGTGACCAGGTCTTGAGTATTTCTTCTTCTTTGACCCCAGCCCTACCTTCTGGCCTCCAGGACTCCTGGCCCTGCCCTACTTGCCTGGCCAGCCGATCCCAGTCCCCAGAGTTGAGCCCGGCCTGATGCGGTGAAGGCTTACTTCAGAGATTCTTTCTTCCTAAGTGGAGGAAAACACTGCAGTCAGTGGATTGAATGGAAAGAACAACCCATGCTTCTGGCTGTCTTTTTCCTCCTATCCCCACACCTAGCCACGCACTCAGGTATTAAGGGAAGGAGCACCTAAGAAACAACTTGGAATTTATGACTCAGAACGGGAAAATCTCATCCCTGTGCTATCTCTAGCCAGCCCCCTTTGGCAGCCACCATCAGCAGGTGGTTCCTCCATGTCAGACCAATTTTTCCAGATAACTGGATCCCAAGGAGATAATAGCACTACTTCCTTCTGGCTAAGTCACTCCAGGCCAGGCCTGGCCAGATGGTCTGCAGATTTGCCCTTTCCTCTCCTGCCAGGCCCATTTCAGGCAAAAGAGGGTTTGCTTGAAAGTCAGAGGCCTGATGCTCCCCCAGCAGATACAAACTGGATGGGTGAAGGAAGGACTCGAGCAAGCCCTTCAAATCTCCCTGTTTCTTAATTTCCTTAGCCATTTACAAGAGATGTAAAAAACACAGGTCCTCCAACCCTCTTCTAAGTGAGCAACTATGTGAGAAACCGAAGAATAAAGCACGGAATGAGTGTAAAATAACAACAGCTACCCCGTGGTTACTCTGTGTCTTCACAGAAACCCACAGCCACTTTGTTACTAATGCTAGTTTACAGGAAATAAAATGGTTACATAAATTATCCAAAGTCTCTCAATAAAAGGGGAACCAGGATTTAAATTCCACAGCCAAAATCAATAGTGAGGACCAGCCAGCATTTGAATATCTCCTATGGGTGAGGCCCAGTGAGTCATTTTATATATGTCAGCTTGTTTAATTATTCTCACAATCAGCCACTGTCAGGGTGATCTTAGCTAGCTGTGGAGTCAGGAAGGTGTCTTCAAAATGCCTCTTCGAAATTTTACATTGGGCCTATGACAGTCCAAATGTGGGAGACTTCCAGGACTGAGATGACACACTGGAGAAAGACTCGAGTTCTCTCTCTTGCCAGCATCTACACATCTAAGGGTCACCTTGTAGGCGGGTCTTCTACCCAGAGAGAGACATGGAGGGTCAGAGGCATGCATGCTGACTATACCCCCCACCTGAGGACAGCTGGGTGGAGACACCCTCCCACCACTGAGCCCTGGGACCAGAGGACTTCCTAGGATCTTTTTTCTTGTTCTTTCTTTCCTTTTCCATTACTGAGGATGAAGCCCAGAACTTCTGCACTGGGCTACATGTCCAGCCCTTTTTGTATTTTGTATTTTGTCTAACTAAATCCCTAAATTGCCCAGGCTAGGCTTGAATTTGTAGTCCTCCTGCCTCAGATTCCTAAAGTTCTAGGATTACAGGCATGTGTCACCATGCCCAGCCTCTAGGATCTTTTTGGTTCTGTGTATCAGTAGGGGTGAGAAAGGTCTCCAATGCTAGGTGTGTCCATAGGCACACACAGAACACTTGACACACAGAACACTTGACACAATATCTATTAAGGACACATAGGTCCTTAATAGATATTGGTTGACTTTCTTCGGTGTCTTGTTGGGCTTAGGAGCCTCTACCAAAGAGCCAGGGGAGGAAAAGTCTAGAAGGGCTCACAGTGTCACCCCACCTAAAGGCCACATGGCTTCAGCCTAGGGAAGAGTTAACTTTTGGCCACTGGAGACAGCTTCCTGCCCCAGGGACTGCCCAGCCAATGGCACTCAGTGCTGATGATGTCATGCTCCTCCTGCACCTTCTATTGGGGACTGGACAGCGAATCCTGCTGTAGGTTCAGGCAGTGGAGCTTCTGAGGCGGCAGGTGGGGGCAGAGGGAGACAGAGGGGGAGGGAAGGGCAAGGAAGGGTGAGCAAAGCAACCTGAAGCTTCCTCTGCCTCCTCCCTCTCTCTGCTCCCCTGTGCCTTGCTCCTGACAGAAAGTACTCCTGGGGACGGCTAGCACTGGCGCTCAGAGAAACGAGGCAGTGCTGCTTTGCTCCAGAGAAGGGGCCAGGGGCTCACACAGGGGCTCTTCTCCCCTCTCCCACCTAGTGAAAACAGACATCTGGCCGGCCTGCCAGGCACATAGGGTGACCACACACACACACACACACACACACACACACACACACACACATACAGCTTCCATGGCAGCCCCCCCTCCCCTCCCCCTGACCGTTCCACTTCACCTGCCTGAGGACTGTAGGTCCGCATCTGAGTTGCTGCCCATAACTGCCCCATCCACTCCACTGGGTTCTCTGTGGGAGGGAAGAGCAGGCAGGGAAAGCTATGGGCAGTGCCCAGCCCTGGCCAGCCCCTCCCCATAGCCCAACCACCTGGGGCTGTGGGGCAGAGGCTCTGACAGTGACCCACTGGGGATTTCTGCAGTTCCCCTCCCAGCCCGCTGGAAGTCAAGGTAGCTGCTGCCCACTTCAGCTTGGCTGTAACCCAGCAACCTGCCCCACCCCCATAACCCAGTCATTTTCTCACGGTTCGACCCGGTTGGCGAATCGGCGGCGCCAGAGCATGGCCAAGGTGCTGAGCAGGAAGAGGGTGGTGCACATGGCTCAGCTGCCCCATCCCCCCAAAACCAATTCTGCAGAAGGCCCCAGGCCAGGGACCAAATGGCCCTGGCCAGCTCTCACAAGCCACTGCCGTCTGTGTCTGTCCTGAAGCTCCTGCTGGGGAGGATTAGGAGGATCAAACTGCTTAGTGGGGTCAGCAGCCCTGACCTTGTACAGGCTGATTAACCTCACTGGACCCAGGATCTCCCCTCTCGTGGCCAGGTGTATCAACCTCCTTCAGGGCAAACATATGTAGATTTGGTATACAAATCCTTGGGCTGTCCTCAAGGGGCTGCCAGTCTAACCCAATAAGCAGTTCAGTTAAACAAGTAACTGCAGTCAAGTAACTGAGGCCCCATGAAAGACCCCCAGGGAGCACTTTGGGAGTTGCAGGCATCCAGGAAATCTGCAAAGAGGAGCTGCGGGCATTGGAACTTGCAGGTCCTCAAGGAAGAACAGACCCTCAAGAGACTCTGCTGGGGCTGCAGAAATAAAAAAAAAACAAAAACGAGCATCTTCCAGTAATAAGCTGAGAGCAATGATGTCAGCGGAGGCAGCGGGAGAGAAGGAGAGGGGAAGGATATTCAATGATAGAGCCAGGAAGATATGGGCGGCCACAGAGTGAAGGGCTGGCTTGCTTCCATCCCCTGGTTAGCCCTCTCCAAACTTTTCTGATCCCACACCCTCCAGTAAAAGGCACAATTTAAGTGTGCACTCACAAAGCAGATACAAATTATACCTTACATAACTACCTTATATAATTTTATAAGGTATAAACTTATACGCTATATACTAATCTACGGACACATTCTTATACCGTAAGCCATATATGACATGTGTAAAGAATGAAATGAGATTTCTCCTGGTTTCCCACCCTATCCTGGGGGCCTCTTGGGGGAATTTCGACACCAACTATGAGAAACTATTAGAAGAGTTTGGGGTGTGTGCAACATGGAGCCAGCGACAGACCTGCCGGGACACCAGTCTGACGGTGATGGAAGAACCTCGCTCCCTTGCACCCCGCCAAGACCTAAAAAAGCATTCAGTTTTCCGCCCCTTGTGAGGTCCATCCCATCAGGCACCTAAACCTTGAGTCCCAGGGAGGGAACTTGCACAGCCAGAGGAGCAAGGTTTCCCTGCTTCCTTTGGCTCTCAACCTTGAAATTGGATTTTAAAAATAAAAACATGAACCAAAGTGCAGAGCACGGCCACCTGGCAATGCTTAGGCTGTACAACACCCAAATGTCGTGCAGGATAAGGGTCACCAGGGAACCTAAGAGAGAACCAGAGACTCCACGGGTACTGTGGCTTTTGTGTCACGCGCTGCAGGCCCTGTGTGGCCTTGGGCTTGCACCGGCTGTCTAAGATGGAACTGGCCATCCGCAGGACTCAGCAGCTGCCTGAGGGGTTGGGGGCTCGGGAGCACAGTCCCCACCTCCGGCCCAGTCTCACCCTCCCTAGCAGCCTGCCACGATGAAGGATGAAGTGTGTCTCCTGGCCAGGGCCCTGGGACCTTGGTGGGGGCTGTGATGCCTGCAGGGCCTGGGCCTTCCTCAGGACTTGTTGCCCGCCAGGGCCTCTGTGCCATACTCGGGCCTCTCCTTGGGACTTCACTCTGCCATGCCAGGTCCGGAATGCAGGACAGCCGGCTCTGGCCGCCCATGGCCGCCCGTGTCACACATTAGCCCCCTAGCGATTTCTTGCCACTGAGGCGCACTGAGGGAAATCGGGTGTTGGGCAGGAAAGGATCGCAGGCCTCTGCAGTCCAGAGGCAGGAGCCGGCTCAAGTTGAGACAGCCGGAGCGGTAGGCAGCCTGGGAGACGGCCCCAGTGGGGTCCACAGCATAGGATCCGGGAGCGGCTGCTCGGCCAGGCGGCTAGGTGGGGGGCGCTTTTCGAGCGGTGAGGCTCGCGTTCGCCCCCTCGGGCGGGAAGCAGGCGGCCACGCCGCCAGTGCCTGGGTGTGTTTGACTTTGAGCAGCCAGTTCGTGTGAAGGGTGCTTATGAGCGCACATCCAAACACCGCTCGCAGCCGGAGTCGGGACACACTGCCCTCGGTCCCGCGCCCGCCGCAGCGCACTCCTGTGCCGCCCGCGCCGCCCAGCGCCGCGTGACCGCCGGATCCTCCCAATACCCTACCGCACTTCGGCCACACCTACCCCTCGCCCCGCCCGGCAGGGACCGCGGTGGCCTTGCGGGTGGGTGGGCGAGCCAGCGCCAGCCGCGTTGATCGCCCCCACCCTGCTCAGCCTTCACCGTGCCAGGATCGGTTCATCGACACAGAACTGGGGTTTTGGAG